TGGCTTCGCCCAGCCTTCCAATCGAGCAGCTTCTGCATACAGAGCATGGGCCTGTGCTGCCTCGGGAGCTGGACATCTGTGGCTGTTGAGCTGTCGAGGTGCCAAAATCCTCGTCAACCAGCCTATTATTTGATGGTTTGTCGGATTTTTTAGGGGAACCCCCCCAACATTCGATTGTTTTTTTGGCTGGTTGATACGACGTGTTTTTCGCCATTCAAACAGCCATTGAAGTTTTGGGGAAAAGCTTCTCCCGCAATTCCAGACACTGCCATTGTACGCCACATGAGCTTCAGCGATGGCAGTTCAGTGGCCTCAAAATTGTGGTGCAAAGCTTGCTGATACCTGGCAAATGCCGACTGCAGTTTGCTCATTCTGTTGCTTTCCACTGAATTGGTCCCAGTCCAAAAAAAGCATGCTTCACCTGACAATTAAAATTGTTGTTCTAATGGGGCCTCTGTTTGCTGCGTTCCACTGACCAAAAAAACATTCTCAACTTTCCTGTCACCGAGTGGTTTGAAAACCAAGGATGATCAGGGGCACGCTGCTGCGTGGGCTGCCAACCGTTCTTGATTCTCCACATAGGCACTCCAAGCCGCGTGGTCAGCATAGGCTCGTGCAGCGGCTTCGTACCTGTAGTGGGTTGGTTGATAGTTCTGTTGGTTGTAAGACCGGGTGTACAACCCACTTTAGTCACCAACCAACCGACCAAGCAAGCAAGCAACCAAGCAACCAACCAACCACGGCCTCTTTCATGACTCATATTTCGATTGGGGCAAGAATTTGAGGTACGTGAACTAGCCACAATAGTCATCCTTTGCAGTACTGCAGCATCCAAGATTCCAATCATTCCATGGCTTCGGTTGAAGGGAAAATCTACAGGAAAACAAGTTGTTTAATGTGGGTAAAACACTAATAAACCATCCCCCAATCATCACCATTTTTATAGGTGCTAGTTTTACCATTCCTAGGAAAATGGGTGGTAAAAAACCACCATTACATGTTTTTTTACCATGAATATATGGTGTTCCTGTAGACGTCGACCCACTAAATCCCGGATCCTGGAAACCCTCGAGGCGCACCCAGCCCTATCACCTCTGGCGAAGGCCAATTGCACGGCCTCCGTTGGGGGTCGACGGCGGAAGAAAAGGGTGGCACTGCCCGCAGAGAAGGGGGATTTACCTCAAACACGGGGATTGAAGCAACAAATTATGGGATGCTATGGGGATATGATATGGCTCTGGCCAGGAAAAGAGGTATGTATCCCTCAAATATAGCCATGTTAAATGAAGAAAATGATGTTCTATTCGGCATTTGGGGGCAGCCCATTGACTCATTGACCTACAAATCCAAGTGACATCCGTGACCAGAGGGGCGCCTCTGATAACGTCCGTGCGTGCAGAGCCAGCGCAGCTGAGTGGCCCTGGGGACAACAAGGTCGGAATGAGGACGTTCTCCTCCGATTATCCAACATGGCAGTGGGAAGTCCAGCCTTTTTCGCTGGAAAATTATTTCATAAATAGATCTTCCCCCCTATCTTCCAATCAAACAGAGGCTAACCGTTAGCACTTCGGATCCCGCCTGCAAGCCTAGTGGATCTAGGCCATGACGGAAGTGCCCAGCTAAGGGATTCATCTGTGCGCAGGGGTCGGGGATCATCCCTTGGGCGCTAGTTCTGTCAGACTCCCAGACTTTTTGGGTGAAAAAGACTGGTTGGTGGTTGGCCTACTCCTCTGAAAAATGATGGAGTGAGTTCGTCAGTTGGGGGAAATCTATTCCCAATATGATGGGAAAAATAAAAAAAATGTTCCAAACCACCAACCAGAAGATGTTTGGGTCTGAAAATAGGCCCCATTCCATCCACTGATGAACCATCACGCCCATAGCAATTGTCGGCGAATTGCCCCATTTTCAGACACACCCAAATATCATGTCAAGTTGGTGATATATCTCGGGAAATATATCCTTAAAAATGATCATGAATGGTTGGTTTAATTTCCATTATGACATATTACATATATATATATAGAGAGAGAGAGAGAACCCAATTTTTGATGGTTTCTTCCCACTATCATCATTATATCCTAGGAACTCCCACGATCTCTCCATTAATGATTGATGGTGTGTTTAATCGATATTTCCAAACAAATTTGGCAATGAAAACTCCTGAAATCCCATTGAAATCATCCCATGAGATATCCCATGATGTTCGCAGATGTTGCTATTTATCCCATGAATGTGCATATGTGTTATATATTGTATATACATTACAATGTGTGCATAATGTACTCCCATAGAAATCCAATGATCTATTTATTTGTTTATTTATTTGCATACATTGCATATATAAACACACCTAGCAACCCCAAAAGATATAGAATAGTTGGAAACCTGGAAATCATGGGAAAACATCATCTACACCATCCTGGAAATGTGCCAACCTACCTTTTTGGGGGTTACTATTCCATTCCATTCCATTCCATTCCATTCTATCACATCTATCATCCATCTATCTTTAGAAAAAGTTGGTTATACAGTTATACATTCCAGTATATCTATAGAAAGATAGAAAGATAGAATGTATAACTTCCTATCTTCCATACATTCTATCTTTCCATCTAAAGTTGGTTACATCTTCCACTTTCTATCCCGGGAATTTCCCACGGCGCGCCTCCTCATGCGGCACCTCCTCGGGTTTGGCGCGCTCCTGCGGCACAGTCAGTCACCAACCGGGTTAAGCGGTTAAGCGATACTCCAAAAGGAGGCTACTCCCATGATTTTTTCGAAACCTCCACATGATGATATAGCAATCTTTTTTTCATATCAATGTGAATGAACGTCTAACACACCTAGTTTTTGAGGTCATGATGAATGTCATGATGAATTGGAGATGTGAATTGAGTAAGATTTCTAGGATTGATTAGAGTAGATTGATGGGTTGATAGGTTGGTAGGTAGACAGATAGATAGATGATTAATAGATAGATCTGTACAAATATAATTTAATACATATATATATATATGCGTACATTATGTATGAAATTGTATGAATATATCAATCGATCCAGAAACTAATGAATTAACAAATTGATTTGTTGCGCTGTGACAACCCAATACCCGAGGGTATCTAGGGTTTCATTGGGATTACAACTCAAATTTCCAGCAGTAGCCTTGTTGTTCAGGGTCTCAAAAATTTGGAAAGGCCATCCCATCCACTATTTCTTCATGGCACTCTTCGTTTCCAACTTTTTGGGATTTTTGCCGGGATCACTGCAGGTGATTGACCCTGGCCTGAGGGCTCTGCAAGAGCGACTTCAAATCAGGTCGAACCTGGAGCCAAATGTGGTGTCTGTTCCTCCTAGATTCCAGGAGATCGCAGGGTGATGTCCCTGTGAACCTCCCCAAAGTAATGGAAAAATGCCTTTTTCCCTCCAGAAATGTCCGAAACTATGGGTCTTCCCATGGTGTTTCTCTAGGAAAAGGATCGATATTTTGAACGATGACTGGATCGTATGATCATAGATCAAACCTCGATCCCTATTTATCAATGGGTTTTCCATATATTTCCATATGGTTTCGTCTGCGTGGTACCCCGAAATAATGCTAATCGTCATTTTCCTTTCATTAGAATTGCTATAGATGTCATATTGTTAGTTAGTTATATCCCCTTAAATCTTCCTATTCAATCACCATACCTAGTAACTTATAAGATGATGTTCCCTATCAATAATATGGTTGATGAATGTTAATGATATACCAGTAACTATTCCGTAACTATTCCCATTACATCACCATGTTTAGATGGTTTTCCAATATGTTCCCAAGAAAATATCATATGGTTGACTATATATATATATCCTATGATGTTCCCATGAAATTCCTATTGAATCACCATTTATCCCAGAAAAACCTATGATATATCCGAATATCCTATGATATTCCCATATTTTCCCAATTTTTCCCAATTTATCCCAAGACATCTCCCATTGCCAGCCACCAAATTTCCCGCTCGATCCATCTCGATCCGAGATCCCAACCGCTTCAGTGCTCGGAGCTAAGAGATCCGCCACCTGAGATTTCATGGGATCAACACCTATTAATTTTATTATATATTAATATATATATATATATTGTATATATATTGTATATATATATATAGTATAGTATAATATGGAGTAACTCCAGAAATATATATATATATAAGTTATAGTAGATTCCCACTAAAACAATGATACATATATGGCTGTTCTATGTCTTTTCTGCATCTTTTTGGGGATTACAAACAAGAAAAACTTGGTTCGTAGCTATTTATTCTTTGGAATCCAGGATTTTAAAAATGATCGAAATTTACTCTATACACTGTATTACATTCAACTTTTGAGAAAGCTCGAATCATTCGTTTGGTGTGGAGCTATTTGCTGATCGTTTTTGAAGAATGATAACCTCGGAGGTTTTTGGGACTCAGATGACGCAAAAGTCGGGTGATTCCAACAAATGACGCAGCTGAGGCCGTGGACTGATAGAGAGCTTCCAGCTGGATATGCACCTTGGGGACCTTGAGGATACCTGGGAAGTGGCACGTGGCACTACTGTCGCACCTTGAGGATACCTGGTTTTCACGATCGAAAAAGATCGGAAAATCTGGGAAAATGCAGCCATGGAGGTTTAGTTCGCAGATGTTCGCAGGGATCAACTGGAAAAAGCCCATCTACAAATGGAGCTTTCGTTGGGAAAACCATCGATGGTGCGGATTTCCACATGTGCGTAACAGGGCATAACGATGGTGTGCCGCATGGTTCTTTTTTGTCCCAAGCTGGGCGATCATGGCGTCAGCTCCTACCACTTCAGATCCACAGATCCAGGCTGCCTAGGGCCTAGGCTTTGAAAATCATGTCTGTTCAGATTACTTCCCTATGTTCATGGCATTTCATGGCCATAAAAATCATCAAATCGCGGTGTTCCTGGCGGTTGCACCGGATGGTTCACCATCCAGTCGCAGCCTCCTCAAATCATCAAAGCCCAAGCCAGGTGACTGGGCGAGGCCGTGGGTCAATCTTTGGCCACCAGAAATCATCATATGGTTACCATCTGGTTATGACTAACATAGCCATGGAAAATCACCATTTTTAATAGGTAAACCATCTATAAATGGGCCATCTATACCATGGCGAACTGTTAGTCATAACCAGAGGGTATGGCTCATGTATAGCAAAAACTCACGGAGACATACGGATACTACCCTACCTGTCCCGGATGCAACTTGGATTCAAATCTTCCCATCTGTTTGGGCAAGGCACGACACCCGCAGCAGCAGCTGCCGTAGCTGCAACGGTTGACCTCCCTGAGTGCAGGCTGTGGCCGCCGCTGAGAGCGTGATGACGTTGGGCCTCGAGTTCGACGGGACGGGTAACGGGATGGGTCATGGGACAAGGTCATTTACCCAACGATAATATGGGAACATCGATGAGATCATGGGATAACTAAGATGGTGAATACATCAATGAATATCGTGGGGTGATACAAGGTGACATCGATCAGTTGCGATTTAAAACTGGGTCGACTATGATTTACGGTAGATGTATCAAACTGGTTACTGGAGTTTATAAACCAACTTTTAACTGGGGGGCACCTTGCATGCTTAGCTAAGTTAGTTTACAATTGGCTTAACTATGGTTGTAGATGATAGTTATGGAAAAAATGGTGGAATGGCAACCACACAACTTCTGACAAAGCCCAAGAATCTGCGTTTCCATATTCCCAAAAATGTCAAATGTGGAGTTTTTGGGGGATATGATATAACTTTCGCGAGGGTTCCCAACATAACATGAACGGTCTTCGCCATTAAACTCGTTACAAGGACCTTTAGATCGATTATCATATGGAGGTTTCCTAAAATAGGGGTACCCCCAAATCATGCATTGAAAATGGATTTTCCATTATAAACCAACCATTTTGGGATACCTCCATTTATGGAAACCCCAATATAGAAATATATAGAATATGATTGGTTTGTATCCCCTTTCCGCCACATTGGTTCCTTTGAGTTGTTTCACTGAACAGCCCGAGTTTTGCTAAGGCATGGGCAAGTTCTGAGCCTCTTCCATCCTGGGCCCAGGCTGTCCTACTGGTCGTCAGGGGCTGAGAAGTTTGACCCACCATCCCCTTGTACTGCTTGTCAAATAGGCATCCATATGAAATTGAAATTGTGATACCCAAGAAACCAGGTAGTACAAAGCGCTACAATTTTCATTAACCAACAGGGCTATTCATGAATCAACCATCGGCTATCAAGCCGCATATGTTCGATACTTAAAGCCCCATCTCTCCATCAATTCTGCCTAATTACCATAATTCACTCACCTGAAAATAGCTGAATTTTAAGGCACCCACTGGGGATGAAAAATTGCCTAACATTCACCATCATTCCGACGCCATCATTCGTGAGGTCATTGTTTTTTCATCCAGAGAAATCCCCTGTAATTTGATGGTTAAATCATGTTAAATCCCAATAAAAAATCCCAGTGAACTGGCAAAAAATGCCAAGCATCTGGGACAGGAACTGCAGTGCTTGCTGCCACAAAAAGCGTCGTCGTTGCAATGCGCTCAGACAGGCCGTGTATGTGACAACATCCGGCTGAGTGGTGTAGGACCTGCAGAAAGATGGAGAGGATTGAAATTTTAGGCGCTTTAAGCCCCCCACGAAGCACTTAACTGGGCAGACAAGTTGGAAAGTAATGAAGTAGAGATCATGAGATGCTGTGAACATGTGTTCATCCATTCTTTTACTCCAAAAAGTGTCATTGGAATTCTGTTGCCACATCGATATCCGCCCAGGTGCATGTCTTTCAAGAGCGCCAGTGCCAGGATCCATTGGGAGCTCGTCTCGCATGCAGTGATGGCTGCATTCCACACAAGTCGATCCGGGTGCCCCTCAGATCAATGGTCACAGCACAAAAAACCAGACCGGACTCATGCTGTCCAAACACGGCATGCCCAGGCAAAGTCATGGCAAGGAACGGCAGCTTGTAGCATGTCTCGAAGCAGGGCCAGTGAAATCTCCCACTGCCCCCCTTTTTGGCCACATGCGCTGATGGCAGCTGAGCCGCTGATTTCGTTAAGCTGCACCTCTGAAAACAAGCAAGCACACAGGTATCGCAAAATTGAGTAGTTAGTCCAAAGATTGCAGTTTAATCAGGAAAATGATACTTTTGGCATGGGATTTTGGGGCTGCCGCGTTGCCCTGTTTTCAATCAAACCGACATCATGCAGCCCAAAGGCTTGCTGCAAGAAATGTCACATCGACCGAGATTCACCTTCATCTTGTACATCAATGAGAGCAGCTCTAGCACTGCTTGCCATTCGCTATCTGGCAGTCTTGCCAGTTTCACAATGGCTGAAATAGGCTACCTACCTTTCCATTGCTTTATCCTCATGTTCCCCATGTCTTTTTTTTTCCATTGTCAAATGGCCCACCCTTCATTTTCCCTCTTTCAACTGACCATTTTGTGGGTATACCAGTAGACCGGTATCACATTTTCACTCAAACCCAAATGCACGGTGCAATCTTTGAGTCAAAAGGGCAAAGATTAACCAGCCTCGTTCACAGGCACTAATGGCAGCTCCAAAGCTCACTGCATCTTGAAGAAGTCTGCGCCTGCGAACAAAACAAACACTGTAGGGCACCCTTTTTGGGATGGTAACCACATGTAACCACTATCTACAAAAATTGGGACATATGATACAAATTGACACAAGCCTGCCCCATGGCCCCATGGCCCCATGGCCCCATGTATTTCGGTGTTTCCAAATCACCCATTGGCACAGCCCCTGGCTCCTTGGCATCTCTAAAAGGAGGTCCACAGCACATTCCCAACTCACACCACGATAAGCGTCGATGGCTGCGTTGAAACCTTGGTGCCACCGGAAACGTTTTCCAGGCAGCCAAGACATCGAAACTGAGATCTACATTAAAACCAAGCGGCTTACTTGGTCCGGAGTCAATCCTGAGATGTCATGAATGCTGTGAAAATGCTGTGTCAGTGAATCAAGGCGAGGTGGAAGATGCGTGTAGGTTTGCCCAAAATTTGGATACCCAGGAATTCCATGGGTTATCATCGTCGTTGTCGTCGTCATCATCATCATCATCATCATCATCATCGTTTCCCCCTGAAATTGCGATTCTGAGGTATGCGGTATCCATTGCGATTCCCAGGACAAATCATGACAAAAGCCATTAGGCCAGGATGGCTCCATTCAGCCCCAGCGTCGCTTCAGAGGCATAGCATACAACAAGTCCAGTGAAAGGTGCCAATAAGCTGCAGAAGCACAAGACGTCGCGGTTGAACTGTAGCTGATTTGGTTCGGCGCGATCTGCAACTTGACCATCTCTTCCTGGTTGTGCATGGCACTGCTCTAGCCCGAAAAACCAAAAAGGTTTGTTGTTCTGTTCTGCTGAGGATGATCTTCCTCCATTTATTCAATATCATCCATTGAGTCCATTGAGATAAATTTGAGCCATACCATTCCCATCCAACCAGCATGAATTCAGGTTCGAATCCACATATTTCTTGCCGAATCTCCCCATCTTTGATGCTCAAGTCCAACCATATGGGAAGTGCATCAACCCATTCTTCAGAGTTCACCAACCTATGAAATTGCCGGCTAGAAATCATCCTTCATGGTTTTTCAACAGCACTGTTTCATCCAGAGTGATCTGTTTCAACATCCAGCGCCGAGCCCCCGGATCACCCGTGTCCAAAAATCTCTGAGGCACCCACCAAGAGCAAAAGTGACAGCTGCCAATTTTTTCTATCGCAGGCAGCAATCACTGCGGTGAAGTGGAAGACATTGACTTCCAACCTCTCCTGGTAAGAACCAATGTTTAATGGTGTCCCTCCATCTTGTAACAGCTGTAAAAAAGATTGGGGATTTTGCCAAGATTAAATCATGGATTTGTTGATTCATCTTTTAGGAAATCCCAGTATTGGCATGTTGTCAGGAACTCAAAAAATGATGTCACGGTGCGGGAAATCATCCCCTTGAAGGAACAGTCGGGATACGTACGTTTGGACGCACGGATGCATCGTTGGGAATGTGGGTAGGACGTCTGGAGCCAATACACACCACTTAGGTGTTTGCTCTGGACCAACAATGAGATTCTCCTGGTTTTACCACAAACCTCATTCCGCATGGAGGAAACTGACTGCCGACTGCCGGGTTATATCAAGGATTCCTGTTTCATATACACCAACATAAAGGTGTGCGACTGGGTTTCCAACCGCTACAAGTCCTACCCTGATGGCCCAGTAAGGTCAGGCTTGCGGGAAGTTCCTATGTTTTCTGGGAAATGATACGAAAATGGAGAATCACCTTTGATGGTTAAGTAGGTTCCCAAGACTGGTCTTTGTTATATAGGATCTGAAACTATCGAACTTGGGAGAATTAATGACAAACCAGTGGTACATGATATGGATATGTTTTGAGCTATACAAATTCTAAAAGAAGTCAAGAACAACAAGGCCTTGCACTATTTAAGGTGTTGACAAGGTCCATTTCATCCAACTTCCCAAATGTTCGTATACCGAAAAAATGCCCCTCTCTCGCCATTCAAACATGGCGAAAATAATGTTCTACAACCATCCAATGGGGGGTTTGCATCCCAACATGTTCATAGAAGGCGTCTAAACCATCAAAAATGCTGATTTGCCACGTTTTTTTTCGTAGGTCTGCAGACAAAGCCATGTTTGCCATGGTTTTTCCAGTTTTTCCCCATCCTTCATCATCTCTTGCAGAACTTGACCTGCTACTCCAAGCCATCCCCTTTTGGCCAGAGCCGTAAGGACCACAGTGGCAGGTTTCGGGGTGCTCCTCCATCGTTCCTCCAGCTTTCCAATGGCGGTTTCCGAATCACCATGGCTTCACCCTGGTTAACCTAGACCTCATGGTCATCCATGGATCACTGGGCCATGACTGGAAACCCTTTAAAAAAAGTTATCTCAACTTCAGCAAAAACACCCGCCAAGTCGCGAGCTCTGGAGCCAAGGCGTTCTGCACCTGACCATCCTGCGGATGAGGGCCCAGTCGCAAGATGCGCCGGACTTCCGGAGTCGCCGTACGCATCCTCGCAGCCCCAGGTGAAGTTAGGGCCATGGTAGAGCTCGAAAATCCAATGTTCATTGGGAAGATGAGGTGTCAAATCAAATCATGGCATGATGACCATCCTGTAAAAGAATGGATGGTTTTAGGAACTCAAAAACTGCAAATGTGTACCTAAGCAACCGCACCTTCATGATGGACGATCGCCACCATGCACGAACAACGCACTCCCAAAGAAGGCTCGCAGCTCTGTACTGTGGCAATGCCCTACGTGTTGCTGTGTGACCATCTTTTGTCCTGGTGATGAAACGAACTGATCTAACTGCAAGCCTTGAGCCAAGCTCCAGGTAAAAAGGGTAAAACATGGTTAAATCAGGTTGGTTCAGCGGCAGCTTCCGACACTGCCTTTTTCAGTCTGATCCACAGGGGGCACTGGGCCGTTGAAGGATGACCCTTCCCAGCCTGCAATATGAGCATTGGCTGCTTAAAACGAAAAACTGCTGGTTGATGATTGTAACGGGTGCCCATCACGATCCTTATCCAAATCTCTCCAATATATTCATTATCCAACTGGGAAATGCCTATGAATCACTGAGCGTTGGATCTTTGACCCATCTGCCAATCAATCCATGTGCCTGCTGTCGAGGCTCCAAATGGCTCATGTTGGTGAAGACCCCCTGCATGTTTGTGTCGCAACTGCCCCCAGCTGAGCGCTCAAAGTTCTCGTCCAATGTGGGGAGTTAATTCTGGTTTTGGTGTTAAATCCCCATTCTTTATGCAGCTTCTGAAATTACATGGCATATAAATATCTCTGGTCATCAAGCATGGCTAGAAACTCCTCCGCTTTCGATGAGTCCAATCCCATCCAATCCCAGGTCCCTGGCGTCCGAGGCCCCCGAGGCCCCTGCCAAGCCAGGCCCGCGCTGCGAAGCATCCGCTGGGCCCGGCAGACTTCGGGGCTCCGGAAAGTCGGCGAGGACTGCGGGGTGCGATGGAGATGCCCAGTTTCACCCCCCAAGGAATTACCCATGGCACATGGGATTCCAACCATCCCCCAAAGGGATCCAAAGGGTGGTTTATTGTTGGGTTTACCACATTGATCTGGAAGAACCAAGAAGAACTAAGATCTTTCACTTTTCTCCGTTTTAAACTCTGACAAGCACTTTGGCTCTGCAGTCTATCTCAGCAACGCACTGGTAGCTGGCCCTCTTGGCCGGGCCACCAGTGACAGCCTCTTGAAGAGAAGACATTCTTCAGCCCCAAGAGTTTCATGCTTGTTGAAATCAGAAGAACGAGTCTTGGTTCGAACATCCCTCTTTGGTTACTGATTACACCACAATGTCTTCGGCCGAAGCAAAGAATGCTCTCAACTCGTGTTTTCAGACCCTACTTCATCTCTCATCTGAATCCGCTGATCGTCCAGTGGCGCAATGCAGCCTGAGCAGAGCAGTGACGGCCAGAAACAGCTGTGAAACTGGCGAACTTGGCAACTGCCTCATCTGTCTCCAACGCCCAAACAAGGACCCAGCCCTCTCTGAGTCGCAGACGGTCAAGGACCAAGATGCAAAGCCACGAGACGGCGGTCCAAGCCAGAAGGAGCATTCCTGGGGGTCATGGAGTGGGTACCAACGGCAAACAGACATGGTCACATGGTCCTCAACTGAGACTCCGAACATTAGACGTTTCTCATTCTTTTCTGGTAACCAATGGCTGATAGTGGATGTTCATTTTGGAATGAGGAACCAAGGATTTCTCGCATCAAAATGGACAGTCGCAGTAGATCTCTGACCAAGCACACCAAGGCCAGTCCGCACTGTCCTCTGACTTCTGGGAGGTGTTTAAGAGGTATGGCGATGAAGAACTGGATGGCAAAGCCCAGACTTTGCCAAAGTTTGTAATTCGCCATGGCAGGGACCAGGGCCCCGGATCCAGCATAGAAACTCTGCAGCGTCATCGGTGGTCCAGACTCAAAAAACGAGTCCCCAACAGCAAAGATGGCAGCCAATGCGAAGACGAAGATGATATCCAAGGCTTTGGGTGTCGTCACCATTTTCCAATCCGTAGTGCCCTGCGGCAGCTGATAGTTGCTGGGGGCCTTCCACATGAGCTTCAGCACCAGGAACAGTGCCACCAAGAGGGTGGCAAGAAAAAAGACCAGGCGCCTTGACACCCTTCCTGTGGAGATCAGTCGGCCCCAGGTGGCCGAGGACATGGCGTTGACGCCGAAAAAGCTGGCGATCACAAAGCCGGTGAAGGCAGAGCCAGCCACGGGACAGGTCACGTCCGTCTGAAAATCACCCAGGAAGAAGGCCAAGGTCATGCCATTGGTCACCATCAAAGGAATCATCAGGGCCATCCTGGCATCTGTGAATGCGAGGCGGCTGGTATCCAGCAGGCTGGGATGCTTGTCATCCGCACCCTCCACGCTAGGCATTGCAATGAAGAGAAAGGCACCCAATAAGGAGACAATGCCCAAGGTCACAAAAAGGACATCTCGGGCCCAGGCCAACTCGCCAAGGGATAACAAAATCACTGAGGCCAGAATGTTGCCAAACATCCCTGCGAACTGATAAATAGAGAAGAACAAGCTGTTGTAGCCTGACCAGTGTCAGATCGGTGCAGAAATCAGACTGGATGAAGTCCACTAAGCTAAGCTAATGGAACAAATATGTGCAAGTAACCCTGATGCTAATAATGGTAATAATGACAATCTAATAATAATGATAATAATGATAAATAATGATAAGCTTGGTAACAATCATCATCGTCATCATTCATATTGATGAATGTGACTTTCGAAATACAAATACTCACAACTATAACGACAATGATAATTATATAAAATCGTGTATGTATATATATATATAGATATATATGTAGCTGCATAGCAACTGCCGAAGAAAGCGAAAAATAATTCATAATAACTGTCGAAGGACTTTGCCAACTTGTACGTTTTGGGGAGTTGATGTTGTGTCTGAAAACGAGGTATACAGTATATCCGAAAAACGGTTAGTGTTATAGGGATAATGGTGATGAACTATGGAATTTTGAGGTTCCCTATTTTCAGACAAATCCATCTGAAATTGGTGATGCTATCACTATACTATAGGGAACTTGTCTGGAAAACCTATCTGAAAATATCCCTAGTAAGTAGACTGTAGATGCTTTTCTATTTCTTAACTATGGTGATATAAAATCATCTAAACTCCATAAATCCCAAAACCCATCTAATCCCAAAAAATTGAGGGGGTTGCTCTAAAACCTTGAATTGTTCATCATCTAGAATCCATTTACCCTCTGGTAATTTAACATAGCTATTGAAAATGGCCATATTTATAATGGATTTTCCCATTAAAAATGGTGATTTTCCATAGCTATGTTAGTTTACCAGAGGGTAATAAAACAACATGACCATCACCAAGTTGACCAAGTCACTGGCGGTCCATTTCTCCGTGGGTTCTTGGAGGAGCTTGGCAGCTGCTGCCGCACTTCGCCCCACGTAGGTGTTTTGGGCAGTCCACAGCAATGGAGCGGCCACACCCACCAGGACGTTGAACGCGACAGGCACCTGGGAATCCACGAACCAGGTTGTTTTTTCGGTGGCTGTGGGGGTATTAAATCTATATATAATTATATATAATTATATAATTGTCTATGTGTATTGTATGTGATATTTTTTTTTGTTGATAGGATTACATATTCAAAATTCAGGTGTTTTCAAATCATACATCCAGTGATGCGAAAGATGTCTATACGGTCACACGTTAGATCACCGTATAGCATAGCCTTGGAAAAGTGACCATTTGTAGATGCTTCACCCTTGAAAAACATGGCCATTTTCCCTCATTTTCCATAGCTAAACTATGGAAAATCACCTTTTTATAACTAGCCATGGCCATTTTCCCTCATTTTCCATGAATGTTAGATACCAGAGATCAAACGTTGCCCAGAGTACTGAACTGAACTAGGCACGGCCCACATCGGCGACGGCTCAGCAGGCAGTGCAAGCAAGTTTGAGAGGGCCTAGATATCGCCAGCCCGGATGTGCCCGCAAACCGGTTTTGTCCCATGGTAAAACTTAAACATAAATCCAAAAACAATCTCGAAGCCCGACTTGTTTGCTCGATTGTTCACCTCATATTTCAATCTGTTCAGTCTTTGCAAATATGTCGAAATAATCTGAAATAAACATATGCACAAATGTACAGATGGATGTGAGTTTCTACACAACAGCCACTGATTCAGACACTCGCTTCACTTTGGCTCCCTGGCAAGCCAGTAGGATGGTCAATATATAAACTCAGCTGGTTCCCAAGCCACCATCGCTGCATAGGCCGCCGAGCAAACCAACAGCAGCAATTGCATTCCCATGATCCGTTCCAGGAGGGAAAGTACTGGTGGCGTAATCAAACAAAGGACCGCAAAGGTCCCGTACCTTTGAGATCGGACAAAGGGTCAAAAACCCTGGTACCCAATCGGTACCCAACAAAATAGCTGGTAGCTGGATGGCTATTCCCCAAAATATGGTCACTTCGTAGGTTTTACGCATCCCCAGACCTGACAAACAACTGTAACAATCGTAACAGCTGTAACATCTGTTCAAACTCCGCACCAAGCCTGGTTGACAGGATCTGACACGGTTAAGGCCGCTTTTGTCCAGACATCATTTACAATCCCACAAGTTAAGGCTTCCTATCTTTGAAACTTCCGCAGCAACTTGTCCGGTGGTATCTGGGGGTGCTAAGACCCATGGACTCCATAGACCCAGCTATCTGACTCCCCAAACATCCCCTCCCCCATCAGCCCCCACATCCAAGCCGCAAACACGCCAAGTTCAGCTCACCCAGCTCTGCATTCAGCGAGCTCTGCAAGCCCTGTGCGGCCTGGAAACCTCCAAAGACCCCTAGGAAAGCAAAGCTTAGGAGCCTCGGAAGCACTGGAAGCGAGATTGAAGGGATCTGTATAGTGTATTTTTTTCATATGTCTTAATATATATATATATAATATATATGTAGTATATATATATATGATATATCTATAATATATAATATAATATATATATATATATGATATAATATATAATATATTATATATATGATATAATATATATATAATATATATATATGATATATAGTTAGAATGGGCCTTGCCCATCTTCCAACCCTGAACCCCTGACCCCAACATACACACATCCCCCTAAAAAAACATCAACAAAATCATCAACATAACTCATAACAAAATTTCACAAACAATAATCATAACAATCAACCACATACACCCCAGCAAAAACCAATCATAACAATCAACCATAAGCTCAAATCAAAAAAGAACTCCAATTTTTCAACAAGACTTGTCTTGTTGAAAAATTGCCCGCCTAGATCTACATAAACAATAATCACCAAACAATAATCCATAAACCAAAACAAAAACTCACCATAAACAACATCACGAAAAAATTCTACCAGCTTAACCTATATATCATCCCAAAAAATTATGTTGTTTTTTTTGTGGTATATTTATTGTCGGGCATCATGTCGGTTTCGTTTGAACATTTACGCAGTGTTTGCAAGAATGGTCCCTGTTCATCTCAAGATCGTTTTCCAACAAATGCACTGTCGCAACATTGCCTGTACCGAGATGCAGTCAGCCACGTCAGCCACTTTTGGGCTATTTGGGCGGGAATTTCCACAAGCGCGCCGGCACCGGCAAGGAACTCTTTCCCCAATCTGTCATCGGGTCAAGCATCATGCTTTCCACTTCACGTTTGATGCCATCCGCCGTTGCGCCCACATGCTTGAAGCCCTTGGCTGTCGCCTCCACCGTGTCATTGTAGTATTCATGTAGATCATCTTCGCGCTTCTTGCGTTCCCTCATGTCCTGAAGATTTCTAGCCAACTCATTGCACCCCACAATCACATCTGCCAACTCGTGCCCCACCAAGTTGTACATAATGGCTTCCTCCTTTGCCATGTTGTCCAGCTCCTGCAGGGCAAGACAAAATTGCAATGACAAAATGCAAGTTCGGAAATTCCAGCCATATGCCTTGAAAAACATGCAAGCAGCAGTCCTTCTCCCTTGCATCATTCCATCCTTGCGCTGCAAGGTTAAAATCGTCTCCTAAAGGGGTTGGGAGGTGAATTTTGCCCTTGGTGCTCTTCTCACCCCAAATGGCTCGGTCAAACTTCGGGATGAAGTGCTTGAGGAGGACGTCGCTGATGATGGGGCGATTGTAAGGGCTGCCCCCCGTATTGACGATGACCGGCACGATGAAGAAGCAGCCATGTCCGTCCTTCAAGGTGCGTACTTGCCAGTTCTTTCCCTTGAAATAGTGAATTCGGCTAGCATAAAAGCCAGTGGCTTCACGCAAGTAAAGCTGGCTGATTGGCGGTCTCAGGTGGGGACTAAGAAGTAGAACGTCCAGGCGTGTCTCTGTCATGACACCGCCCGAGCCGCCCGAGCACATCTTCGCCATGCGACAAAGTCGTAGCGCCATCGCGTGCCTTTCCACAAACACTACATGGGACTTTGAACCAATATGTCTTGCAACCTTTGGATGATGTCAGCCCCAGAGACTGCCACGAGCTATTGGAAGGAACAGCGCATAAAGTGAAGGAAACTCTAAAGTATCTGTAGATTCATAGATGTTGATTTCGGAACCTCATTGACAAAACGTCTTTGAACACTAGCCATCAGGAACCTGCGCCAATCTACTCATGAAGCTGTCTCATGATTTTTGGCAGCGCATTCCGATTTTGCCATTGTGCAAGCTTTGCTTGCCTACTACAGTGGCCTTGCCCATCTTCCACCCTGTGGGGGGCGATGTTTGTTTGCGTGTTGTTGTTGTGTATGCTGGGTTGCTGGGGGTATGGGAGGGGCGAGGTGTGAGAGAAAAGTTTTTTAGCAAATTTTCAAAACAATATCTTTTTGGATATTATTATGAAACTATTTTGGCAAAATATTTATGATATATTCACCCCTTTCGTCCCGCATGATTAAAGTTTTGGCTACAGGGTTTTTAATCTTTCCAGCCTTCACCATTTCAAAGTATTGTTTTTGCTTTTCCTGAAAAGTGCCTCTGGGCTTACCTACTCCTCTTTTTTAAAAATTTTCCTCCATCTTCTTTTTCTGTTCTTCTTTATCTTCAACATCTTTTCCATCTGGCAGTTCATTCAGTTTGGAAAGTATTGCAGATAACATTTTGCTGTTATTTTTGGTGTGCTCATATATATTGCTTAACAAATTGTAATCAACTTCATCAACATGAGGGCTCATAAGGATATATACTAAATTAGAAATTTCTAAATAGTTATTTAATTATTTAATAATACATTTTTAAATAAGTGTTATTCTAAATCATTCAGGGAGTTTTGTTTCTTACTATTCCTTGGAGTTGGTTCTGTCGTCCCAATCCCACTTCGTGGTGTGTTCATAACTTCGCTTATCATTTTATTAGTGCTTTCTACCTTTTGGTCTTCTGGTGTAATTTGCCAATTCCACGAAAAGGAGATACTATGGTCAGAACTATCTAGTGTAATACCTCCATCATCATCTTTACTGACATTCATTGTTTTATCGTTTTTAGTTAATTTGAATGAGCAGGGATTACAAGAGCATTTTATTCCCTTTGGAATGATTTCTATCTCATTCCTCAACTGCAGTTTTCCACAACAAAGGGGACAATCAAAGGTTATAAATTTACTGGTTAATTTATGTTCCTTATTGAAATTAACTGTGGTAGGTTCATCATCACTTAATTCAAAATCTTCAGGTATTGGTTGCTTTTTCATTTTACTAACTTTCTTTTTTGCTGGCATTATTGTTAAGTAGATAATTAACTATAACTTTGATAAATTCAAATATCATCTTCAAAATCATTTTTATTCTACCATCTTCAACAACAGGAAACTTATTATCACCCTCAATCATTTCTTCAATTGTATCTATTACATCTTCATACTCATCAATAACTACCATTAAATATAATTAGATATTACAATTCATAAAATCTAATTATGTTAAGAATTGCTGAGAGAGAGAGACGAAGAGGGGGCGCTATGCATCAAACCAATTACTGCTTATGAGGATTGATATTACCTGTTCCATTGCTTGTGAATGATGAATACCAATATTATATTATATAATTTTATTTCTAATATTAGTAATGAAAAAATTAGATGTTCCAAAGATTGAGCCAATCAATGTAAAGCAATATGAATTCAAGCAATCACCATACCCTCAAGCCGACAAGTTGCCTTTTAGAAGTATCATTGTTTCAGCATCTCAAGGGGGTAAAGGCATCCTTATACAAAATCTAGTGCTGAAAATTTATAGAGGCTGTTTTGAAAGAATATACATTGTCTCACCGACTGCTCATATTGATGAAGCATATAAATCTGTAATAAAATACATTGAAAAAGAATTAAAAGTAGATAACAAAAAGGAACAGTATTTGTTTGATGAATACAATCCAGAAGCATTGACACACATCATAGACACTCAGCATAAAGTTATAGAATATCAGAAGAACAAGATGAACAAATTATATAGTTGCCTGTTGATAATTGATGACTGGGCTGAAGATAGAGTTTTTATGAGATATTCTAAAATCCTCCACGGTTTATATACAAAATCTAGACATCTTGGTTTATCAGTGATAACTTCAAGTCAGAAACTCAACGCACTGGCTCCTATAGTCAGATCAAACACATCATCACTATACATCTTCAAGTTGAAAAATCAAGCAGAACTGGATACATTTATTCAAGAACAATCAGCACTGGTTGATAAGAAAACTATGTTGCAAATTTACAGGTTAGCAGTTGATGCTCAACCTTGCTCATTTTTGTTTGTAAAGTTAAGGGCAAGTGATATTAATAAAATGTTTATGATAAGGTTTGAACAGGCCATACATATAAATTAATATAATAATATTATTATGATATAATATTATTATATTAGAATAGGCTGTAATTACATAAATCTACCTTTGGTATAGCATATATCATTTTTGTTTGTTTTTCTTTTTGTAATTTATCTATCTTATTATTCATTTCCTTTATGGCTTTTATTTGAAGTTTATCTATGTTTGATATATCTAAATCATTTTCATTTATATTACTTAATTCTTCTATACAATCATTCTTCACGACATTCTGTTTATTTCCCGTATAAATATATTAGATATTTTATTTTTCAGTTTTTGCTTTTGCTTTACTTTTAGGTTTCGGTTTAACATAATCTTTAATGAAATTTTCAACTTCAAACAGTCTTGTTTCTAAATGTTCTATCTTGTCTTGCTGTTCTCTGCATACACCCCATAAAATACTAGTGAGTTTTACATAACTCAACTTCTTAATACCTTCATCATCAGTCATAACGATATTTTCCCATTCGGTAGGTATTACTTCTTTGATTTCATCTGCAATAAATGCGATATGATTTCTTGTTATTCCTATTTCTTTCTCTTCATCCATTTTGAAAGTTTTAGGTTCAATTTGTTTCATAATATCAGTAAAATGATGTTCAATACTTTTGATGTCATACTTTTAGTTTTATCAGATGTATCAACCAAATCGCCTTCTAATGTATAAGGTGGGGGAACTGAAACTTTTGATGGTGTAATATAAAGCCTTATACCATTGTTAGCAAAAAATCTTAAATCACCATTAGGGTCTTCGTTAATAAAATTTGTATGATTTACACCTGCTATATTTGTTGAAGTGATATAACTATTTACACTACTACCTTTATGTAAATACAAACGGTTAGTTTGAAGAATATAGGCATCCTTTGAAATCGTAACATCTTCTTGACCTTTTCTATATCTCATAAATTCAGTATAACCACTACCTGTTGTATTAGCACCTTCAAATACCATATCATTAGTTAATATTGACCTTGAACGAAGATAATTACAATATAAATAATTTGATGATAATGCTATTGAAGTTCCAACATCAACAATACTTGTAGCACCGACAAATTTTAAATATTCAACTCCATTTCTTTGAAATACCATATCATTGTCTCCTGTTGTGTTAATAGTATCAATTTTAGCGCTTGAGGCATTTAATGTTATTGCTGGCGCTGTTTCTACTTCATTATTTCTTAAATACAAGAAGTCAATAAAATTTCTCCTAAAACTTGCATTAGCATTGCCTACACTGTCATAAGTATTAGACCTCAAACTAACTGAATAATTTATATCCACTGTGGCACCTGTGCTCAATTTCAAATATTCAATACCGTTTCTTTGGAACACTAAATCAGTATCAGTGTAAGAATTTATCAAATTGCTTTGTAATCCTAATGCATTAGTAAATTTCATAACTCTATATGAAATAATTTCACTATTGTATATTTCAAACCTTCTATATTGAGCAAACAAACTTGGACCACCCATAGCAAATTTATATGCTTGTGTTGTCAGTCCTTGAAATTCAACTTGACCGACTATTAACTGTGCTGTTTCTCCTGTTTTCTTTACATAATTACTGTCATCAATTGTTCCACCTATTTCTGGACTTGTAGGTTTATGAAATGTTATTAGATTATTTTCTAATGTCATTACTAAATTAGTTGTTGAATCCGGTGTAATGGGTGAGCCTACATAAAATTTAATTTGTCCTGTATTGTCGTTCATAATGTAATTTGATATTGTTGATGCACTACGACTTTCAAAGTTATCACACACAATATTATTATCACATTCAGTTTTATTGTTCAGTGTTATTAGATTTTCAGCAAGTTCAAGTTTGCTAGTTCCACTAACTTTGAAAACTAAATCTAGTGGTGCTATGGTGTCTATCTCTTGAGTTTTTAAATTACTTCCACACTGAATTAATTTATTTGCTACTATTCTATCATCAGTTTTTAATTCTAGAAAACTATTACCACTGACTTTAAAAACTAAATCTAATGGTGCAATAGTATCTATTTCTTGTGTTTTAAGATTGCCTCCACATTGTATTAATTGACTTGCTATAATTCTATTGTCATTTTTTAATTCAATGAAATTAACATTGTTTTGTTTCAATATCATATCAACATCTCCTATTGTATCCATTGAATTTATATTGAGATTGCCATTGCAAGTAATATTACCAGTATCTAAATTTTTGATAAACCTAAAACAGTCATCAGCGAATCAAATTGAGCATATGGTGTATTGTTTGATTGAAAAAATATATCATATGTGTTAAGAGCATTGAATGTATTTGTTTGAATACTTTGAACGTTGATGTAGCCTGTGCTGTCTAATGATGAAACTGTTAGATTTCCTAACACTTGACTATCACCATTGACATAAAAATCCTTTGTAGAAGAAACAGCATTTAAAATTATTTTTGAAGTTCCTGTTATATGACCTATTCTTAAAATTCCATTCATATCTTGTGGATTATTAATATTGAGTTTTGTATCTAATAGTGTATTTACTGATGTAATATTATATTTTGTATCTAGTAGTGTGTTTGTTTGTGTTATGCTATATTT